CGTCAAGGACCCCAAAACCGCATTTACATATGTAAATCCGGGATTTACATGGCGACGGGATTTACATACGACATATAAATCACACGGTATACTTTTGTTTGTGTCCCAGCGACGGAAATCGGTTACGATTACTAAACCAGCATACATTATGTCGCATGTGGGTGACGACACAAATTAGCCAGTCGTCATTAGAGTGGACGTAAAAAATAGAAATCATACGTCAAGCCACAACACATACCTTGGTGGCTCTCGGATGACGATACAAATGCAATCTATACACCACCTGATGAGCAGACTATAAATATCCCATCTTTGACGTGGCAAACACAAACGCTCGTCATTTTCGGGATAGTTATAGTCCGACCTAAGTGGGATATTTGGAGTCTGTACAGACTCCAAATATCCCACTGAGTCATTGAAAGCCATGGCCCAAATAAGCATGAAGTGCTCTGGTACTAGTATTCTATTTGTCGTTTAATAAAAAATATTAATATGAAACCAATTTACATCAAATCCACTATGGAACCCAAGAATTACAGTACCATTAGAAGCATTTTGAAGAAAGCTCAAGGAGAGAAAATTACTTCATATGTTTTTAAGATCAAGAATACCCAAACACTCCAGGAATATCTAGATAAGGAAAAAATCACTTATGACATTACCAGGAAGAACGTAAAATAGTAGTCAATAAGCGAGCATTACGACCAACTTATGATGAACCAAGAAACAAAAACTAGAAACATAATAATAAAGCAATATTAATATTTGCTTCTCTATTATATTTAATGTGCCCAAGTAGCACAAATACAAATCCGGAATTTTCACTTGACGTGTTGTTTTAAAAGATCTATCTCCACATTAAAATCCAAACTTTCTATGAATAAGTCGTATTAACAAGAGAGAGCTTAACAGACTGTTTGATCTGATATTGTGATGATAAAGTAACCACCATTATGCAAATTCTAGAAAATGAAGTTGGTCAATTGCCATAGTATAAAACACGTGGCCTAAGATCGTTCGAACGAGGAGTTTACATGTACTACTTTCAATGCCAATTTCACAATGTTCTATATACATACGAACGTGATGTATACATTCAACATTTATCATCTTAATAAATCATAACAATTTACAAATATTGCAATCTTCCCGTAGAAGGTAATAAGAGCTTTGGTCTTAGTAATTGTTTTGAAGAGGCTGACATAATTATGATACGCGAGATTGCGATACTATCAAATTATAATACTCTACACTTTCAACAGCGAAAATAAGTAGCAATGCTCACTGTTATCTTACAATAATTCAGGCGATTAAGACAAGCCGGGTCAGCAAGCCTAAAAGACACGTTCAAGTATGTCTGATAAAAAGTAAGGCTACGTTTTCCTGACGTGCTCGCTGATCCCTCCTGCTACCAATTTAAAATTACGTAGCAAAGGCCTACCATCACTGTAATCCATATACAGCGTATACAAGTGGTAGAATGATGATACATGACGACACAAACTCTTCTAATATTATTGCGCCGACTGCGATATTACAGCTATCTCGTCATCATCTTTATAATGTTTGGGTGGTGACGATTGCTCGATTATGATTGACGCCTTTCTTTTCTTTTCCGTTCGTTTCGTAGACTCTGGGGCTGTATGGTTGTCACGTTCAAGTAACAAGTTTTTCAGGAGATTTTTCTAGAAATAAAAAAAAAGTTTATGTGTAACAAAAACTTTATTTCGTACGAAACTCATTGAATGATAAAGTTTATAAGTTACCTCAATCTCCAGAGCCTTGACTTTTTCTTCAAGAAATTCTCGAATTCCTCGTTCCTTACGTTCGTTGATTACTTCATTCTCAAGTTCTTCTACCCTTCCCTTTAAGTACTCATTGTGCTCTTTCAGTTTTATTATGTAGTTGTTGAGATTACCATCCTCGATCTGAACAGACATAGTATCTGTCTGACGACGAACTGGTTCTTTCGCCTGACTAGTGTATTCTGTCGGAGTCTGGGTAAATGGCATAGGATGATATTGCGATGATGATCCTGTGGATTGTGCTGAAGCCGAGTCCACTGAAAACACAAATTGTGGTGGCGCAGACATCATCCTATTTGGAATCACTAGATTCGGAAGAACAGGTTTGCTCATACTTCCAGACTTGGTTGATGATGTAGCACCCAGCGCACCCTTCTGCAGCCAAGACTTTCGAGTTTGTTCAGTGAGTTGGGAATGATGTCTTTTAAGCGCATCTTGGCTTGCTGATGCAAGTGATGTTCCAGAATCACCATTTATAGAATTATTATGGACAACCGACGAATTTACTATGTCCGTATGTTGTAGAAGTTGCTGTTGCTTAGCATTCTCAAGCCCTAGCGTTTGTTGTTGTTTGCTTTGCTGCGTTTTCGAGAAATCCAAAACTTGAGACTGAGATTGCAAGGTTGAACCTGTCGCTTCAATCCGATCAGACTGATTAGATTGCTGGGCTATCGGCATCGTGGTATTGCGAAATATTTTCTTTTGCGAACCGCCACAAAAACTCTCGGCGCGCAAATGCCTATTCAAAGCATCTAACCTGGCAAAGCTCCTGTTGCAGTACTCACAAGTGTATGGTTTCTCACCAGTATGCAGTTTCGAGTGCCTCTTCAAATCATGGTGGCGTCTGAAAAAATGATGGCATATTTCACATTTGAAAGGTTTCTCTTGCGAGTGTGTCAAAGCGTGTGATTTTAGATTATGCTGACGACTGAATGTTTGATTACATTCAGTACACACATACGGCTTTGGCTTTTGCGGATTTGGACTTTTCTGTTGTCCTTGCGTCGCCTTTGGATTAAGCGCAAATATGAACGAGCCGGAAGGAGACTGGTTCAGGGATGTCGAGGGAGATGGGATTGTTTCGGAAGTATATTGTGTTGGGGAAGACGAAAGCCGTCCTACATTTGGTGCTAACAATATGATATCTTGAGAGGAAGGAAAGCTATTATTTACTTGCGATAAAGTAGGAAGGGTCGCTAGTGACTTCATCTCTGTGGTTATGTTCGAAGAGAGTGGAGCTGAGTGTGGTGACGTAGAAGCACTATGTGGTTGTTCCCTAGGAACAGGACTGGCAGGGATTGTTGAATAATCTGCATTTGCAAGCTGTTTACCTTCCAGTTGAGATTGCTGTGCGGTCGAACTCTCCAGCGCGGTTACTGAAACGGCTTCGCCAGTATGTGTCACTGATGTGTTGTTAGACTTTAAAGACTCGACTGTTGCGCCGCTACTGAGGTTGGAGTTTAAGATAGCAGTAGTTGTAGTAATAGTAGTATTATTACTTGCGACTTTGGCATCCATATTATTAGGAGGGAAACGGGTGAACTGGGCTGTTAGTGTGGCTTGGAAGCTGAATGATTATGGGGCGGGGAAAGAGGCGAGTTGGTTTTTATCTTTATGCTTACAAATGCAAAGATATATATAATAAATAACGATAAAACAAAAAGTGCTCCAATCACCAATCTCAATTGAGTGGCGTTATCTGTAACACAAGCAATACTGTGTAGGAAAGAGGGTAACAATTAGCTTCCTGATAGAGACGAGTAAGGAGAAATGTGCTACAATTAATAAGTTTGGCGTATTCTATACAAACGTTAGAAATATATTTATATAAAAGTTCGGAGTGCATACGGATACATTTATACTTTAAGAGAGAAGAGGGATGGGACCCGGCTGAACACTCCGAACGTATAGCTGTTTCTATAAATATATTGATGTACGACATTATTTGACAAAAACGGTCTTCCATTGCCAGCCTCTCTTTACACAAAGGCCAAAGAACAAAATGTACCGTGGCTTGGCGATGTGACCAAACCCCTTACTTGGCATTCCCTTAAATGGTATACGAGCTCCGACCGCAGCGTAAACACTGGAACAGAAATCCGGAGTTAAAAAGAATTTCTAGTAATGGTAAATATTAAAATAGGATATAAACGTTCAGTTTTCGTGATTGGGTCAAAGAATTCACATTCAAATTGTAAAGATGAAAGCCGTCGGACTTTGCCCAACATCTTACAAATCGAGACCTTTTCGTCGCAATTGATTGCAGCAGTCGGTAATCGAAACATTTTTGACACTTTCAATTCATAAGATTTTGGCGTAAGAAACGTGTATCCGATAAGTGAAACAGGTCGTTATTTTATAGGAACATTTAGTTAGACAGTATAATCTCGTTGACTTGCAAGTTGTTACTTTAATAAACACTATCTGAAGCGTCTAGCATAGATTTGAACAATAGCGTTTTGACCAGAATAATTATAACAGCGAAAGAATAATTAATTGCTATAGGACTATAATTTTGATGCAATCATAAAGTGTTGAGTACAAAGTAAGAAAGGAAGTAAATAAACATAATCGATGAATATTCTATCTACATTAAAAACCTGATCTCTCATAAAAAAATACATTTATGCCTCCTACGTTCCTTTTTTTGTTGGTTACCACCTTCTTTCCTAGCTCTTATCATTTTAACAACGTTGTAGAATGCTCGTTCCACATTGAGCGAGTTCTAAAAATCTACCATAATAATTTTAGTCAAATTGCAACTGAATTCGAATCAATCAATGGATCTAT